TTACCCAAGGTTGATTTCCGAGGGTGACCATCCAAATGTTCGGAAGAGAGAATGTGCAAAAAAAAAAACACTTTGCCGGAGTTACTATACCTGTGTTAACATGTAGGCTCAATTTATGTCGTGCATTTTTCATGGAAATGTTGTGCCACGACTTCAAAACTAAGAAGCTCAGCACGGCGTGGATAGCTAGGTCGAGCTCTGTGTTGATTAGACACCAAGTCAGGTAAGCGGACTCACAGGATCTAGAGTGTGTATTCTCGACGAGTAAAAAAGAAAGTTTTTATAGCCTCCAAGGTAGAATTTGGTAGATATGTGTCAAATATTGATTCAATTAGGATTTGAATTGTATTATCAGTTAAGGTAGAGTTTGGGTCCGACTCTATAACCTAAGAGGCCATAAATATGCATCCGACTCTTCTTATACCATAAGACAACTTGTTGGCGGGTTTGGATGGAAGCGTGGCCACGGTAACACTGTCATGCTAGTGTAGCTATTGCTTAAGGGAGAGGAGCGTCCGTACTCATGTTTTAAAATGTAGACAAGTAGTCAAACCTGGTTAAAAAGACATCTTATCATGCCTTGACGTCATTCTCATGTGTGATTTCTTGGCGTGTCGTTCTCGTTAAAAAAACATTGATTGGAGACCGTCAGGATGTTGGTACTATTGATGATTTTCTTAACACAATGCATGGACCATGGACCACGGACAGGGGCGGATCCAACTGTGTGTGTGGGGGGGGGCTCGAGCCCCCCTACCCATACCGGAGCAGTGCAACCCCTGGAGCCCCCATGAATTTTTAAGCAAAGTTCTATAGTGTAGGTGAGACTGAGACTTAAGATCGAGCAGCAGTCGGAGGTATATTGCTGTCGCACTTTTGTTCAGCCCCCCTAAAATTTTTTCTGGATCCGCCGCTGACCACGGACCAGGGACCGACAGTGTGCAGCTGACATAGGAGTACCACTAATGGCCTGACCATGGACGTGTCATTAGAGCACGCTCAACGCACCAGCGTGGCGGGCAGCCCTACAGGGCCACGTAGGCTCGGATGCCTACTTGGAGGAGAGAGGAGGTGAGATGGTGGCCCTACAGAGAGTCAATGATGCTTGCAGAGGCGCCCATGGCCTGGTCATTAAAAGGTGCGGCTATAGCAAAAAGTAGAGAGAGAAGATCATCATTTCTTTGGATCAAAATCTGAGCAGTGAAAAAATAGTGTACCCTGTTGTTTTTGTCTTGGTCTACGTGTATTGTGCTTTTTGTGTGAGACCACCGGGGCTGTTAGCCCCGTTGCTGTTGCCCTCCAATCGCCTTAATTAAAGAGAAAAAATCCACACCAGCGTTACGATAACCACCTCACACTACTTTTTAAAAAGAGTGACAAGAGTTTGCCGTCATTCTTATTTGGCGAGAGAATAACAAGCATATTTAGCCAGGAACCAATCACTAAGAAAAAAACCCCTTAAAGCCAACTTAAACAAATAAACCCCATAACTACTGAAAAACTCCACTAGACCCAGCTGAACCGTCACAACCCAACTTAAGAACACAAGAACCCCAATAAAATGACTTGTCACAGTTGCAACTTCTTTTGTTGAAAGGTTCTTTCATTGTATTCTTTCGGGATGTGGCACCAAAAATAGATCATAACATCCTCAAAGTATCTCTTTTGGGATTTGTCAAAAGTAGAGTGACACCAATACTTGTAAATAGTCCCATTTTGGCTTATGGTTTGTATGTTGGATATTCCACACCAATTCTGAATTATTGTCCAAAATTCTTGGTGTAGGGGCAGTCTTTATAGATGTTGCAGTGTTTTACGTTCAACATTGCACAACCTACGTATTAGATAATTGGACCATCCACGCTTATTAATCGGATTGTTGGCAGTTAAGATTTTCTTGTGGAGCTAGGTCCATGCAAAAAAAAGGCACTTTAGGCCTTGTTTGGATGTTGTTATATTTACCTCAATCCCCATGTGCTGGGTAGATTAGAGTGAAATTTAGTTTATATTCCACCACAAATCCATCTCAACACATGTGAATTGATGTGAATCGACTGCGTCCAACCAAATAAGTACATGCCATCCGATACACGGACCAGTGCGTCATGCCGTCATCGGTTCTTGAAGGCTTACATTGCCATTGGGCATTGGTGGTCGCGACTGATGGAGCCCCTCCGTGGTGGATCTAGTCCTAGGTCCCGCAGTTAATTGCATGACCGCGGCACGCCAAGCGGCCGGCCACCGCCCTTCGGCTCTAGGCAGGTGTGGCTGAGGCCGACAAGGAGCATGGACTGGCACCCCGACAATAATGTCCAGTCTTTGGGGACGTGCGCCACCACCAGCCGAACAGCGGTCCCTGCCAGTCGCCATTCTCGAACCATACCCGGGTCAAGGCTCATTTCGATCAAGTGCTACATGATGATCACCGGAGACCAGACAACCACTAACCATTCCACAAAACGGAGTCCACGTCCACAATTGCGACGAATCCTAGATTCCTAGCTACGACGACATGGCACACAGGCACACGTACCTATCCAGAGCAGAGGTACGAACAGTCAAATGTCTTGCACGCTGCTGATCCCACCACATGCATATGCATGCACATACAGTTGCATATGACACTCGTTACTCGATGGCAAAACGGTGCGTGCACGGTAGCAGTTGCAGAAGACGGAAAGCACTAGCTCGTACGCCGCTTCAGCTCGCCGGCGTACGGCGTGTCCACGGACCCGACCCAGAGCGCGCCGCCCCACTCGGCCACCTCGCTCACGGACACGAAGCTGAACCCGTCCAGCGCCTCCATCACGTTGCCCTCGCGGGAGACCCTGACGGCGACCGTGGGCGCCGTGGCGGCCGCTTCGCCGCCGCCCGCGAGGCCGTTGCTCAGCGCCACCCAGTACCCGCCGCGGCCGTCGGCGCGCAGGTTGTCCGGGTACCCCGGCAGCTCCGCGAAGGTTTGTTTGGAAATGGTCGCCTGATGGTAGATACTCCGCTTCCTCTACGTATCGAGCTTTCTTCGCCGGTTCCACGTCGTTGCTCGGGGCCAAGGAGCTTTGGAAGACCAAGGCGCCGCCGCGGGTAAAATTCTTCTTCTGGATTGCACTGCACCGGCGGCTCTGGACCGCGGATCGGGTAGGAAACGCCATGCTCTCCAGGACAACGACGATTGCGCTCTCTGCGGCCAGGAAACGGAAACCGTCGCGCATCTTTTGCTTGGCTGCGTTCTGGCCAGGCAGCTCTGGTTCCTGCTGCTCGAACCCGTTGGTTTGGTGACGTTGGTCCCGGAGCGCCCAGATGATCTGGGCGACTGGTGGATGCATTAGAGGCAGCGGCTGCAGCACGACGCGCGGCCTGCCTTCGACAGCCTATTACTGCTAGTCTCCTGGACGCTCCGGAAGGAACGAAATAGCCATATATTTCAGGGGGTGACATCAGGTATTCAGTCCATCTACAAGACGGTGGTTGAGGAAGCTGAAGACTGGGTTCAAGCTGGTTTTTCTACGCTAGCGGGAGTTTGGCCGCTTTGGTCGCAGAGATCGTTTCCTATGTAATATTGGCTTTGTAAGTCCAGTAGTTAGGTGTCTTGATCGATGTTTGATGGCCGCTCGCCAGCGTTCATGATCAAGGTTGTTTGTTATTCCAAAACCTTCCTCTTAATGAAATACGGGCACAATGTCCGATCGAGAGAAAAAAAGCCTACCTGTGTTAACACGTAGGCTCAATGTACGTCGTACATTTTTCATGGAAATGTTGCGCCATGACTTCAAACCTATGAAGAGCTCAGCACGGTGTGCATAGCTAGGTCGAGCTCTGTGTGGATGTAGACACCAAGTCAGTTAAGCGGAGCCACAGAAACTAGAGTGTGTATTCAAAATTTGGACGAGTAAAAAAGAAAGTTTTTATAGCCTCCAAGGTAGAATTTGTTAGATATGTGTCAAGTATTGATTCAATTAGGATTTGAATTGTATTATCGGTTAGGGTACCGTAGAGTTTGGGTCTGACTCTATAACCTAAGAGGCCTATGACCCTGTTCGTTCGGAGGAATCTGGAAAAACATGTGAAAGGAATCAGCCGGGAACAGTAAAAATCAGCCGGGAACCGTGATTTTTTTGAACCAGCCGGACGCAGCCTAATCACAAGAGACAACTTGCTGGCTGATTTGGGTAGAAGCGAGGCCACGGCAACAGTATTATGCTAGTGTAGCTGTTGTTTACGGGAGGAGCGTCCGTAGTTATGTTTCAAAACATAGACAAGTAGCCAAACCTGATTAAAAAGACATGATGCCTTGACGTCATTCTCGTGTAGTCGTGTGTGATTTCTTGGCGTGTCGTTCTCGTTAAAAAAACATTGATTGGAGACCGTCAGCATGTCGGTACTATTGGTGATAAGGGATCGAGGAGCGCGTCATGCCGTCATGGGTCTCTGGAGGCTCACATTGCCATTGGCCATCGGCAGTCGCGACTGATGGAGCCCCTCCGTGGTCGATCAAGTCCTAAGGTCCCGCAATTAAATTGCATGACCGCGGCACGCCCAGCGGCCACCGCCCTTGTGCTCTAGGCAGCTGTGGCCTGTGGCTAGGAGCATGGACCGGCACCCTACAATAATGTCCCCCAATCTTTGGGGACGTGCAACCAGCCGAACAGAGGTCCTGCCAATCGCCATTCTTCCCTAACCCCATACCGGCCAGGTCAAGGGTCATTTAGATCATGTGCTACATGATGATCACCAGAGACCAAACAACTAACCACTAACCGTTCCACAAAACGGAGTCCACATCCACAATTGCGACGAATGCTAAGCTACGACGACGACATGGCACACAGGCACACCGTACGTCCGTACCTATCCAGAGGTACGACGTACAGTCAAATGCCTTGCATGATGCTGATCAGCTGATGCCACCACATGCATGCACATACAGTTGCATATGACAGTCATTACTCGATGGCAAATTAAAACGGTGCGTACGTGCACGGTAGTTGTAGAAGACGAAAGCACTAGCTGGTGCGCCGCTTCAGCTCGCCGGCGTACGGCGTGTCGACGGACCCGACCCAGAGCGCGCCACCCCGCTCGGCCACCTCGCTCACGGACACGAAGCTGAACCCGTCCAGCGCCTCCGTCACGTTGCCCTCGCGGGAGACCCTGACGGCGACCGTGGGCGCCGTGGCCGCTTCGCCGACTGCGAAGTCCCTGCTCAGCGCCACCCAGTAGCCGCCGTGGCCGTCGGCGCGCACATTGTCCGGGTACCCTGGCAGCTCCGCGAAGGTCTCGGACGTGCCCGCCCAGGCGCCACGGACCCAGTACCTCCGCAGCTCGCCCAGCGCCGTGTGTGCCACCACCACGTGCGTGCCGTCGGCGCTCACCGCCACGCCGTTCGGGTAGGAGAGGCCCGCCTGGAGCACGGCGACTCGGCGGGTCCGGCGGTCGTAGCGCAGCAGGCGGCCCGTCTCGTCGCCCAGGGCCACCAGCAGCAGGTAGTCGCTGCATTGCAGTTTGCAAGAGTAAACACACAGGTTGGCATCAGTGTTGGTTCCCCGCTGGGATCATTATAACTGTCAGATAGAGATACTATTCCACGAGCTTATCTGAGATGCTGCAGGCCAAGTAATAATAATCAAAATAAAATTAATTGAGTTGATATGACCTTCTTAACGAAAATTGGAGGGGCGGCAGGGGAATAGATATTTTTTTGGGGAAAATTTTGTGAAAAAGCCTTTTTTTGGAACAGAAAATCTACTAAACAACTCCCGTATTTGCTTCCAAAATGTTTCGCATACATCATCACTTTACCGAATATAGGTAAACAAAGAATATGAGCATCTATCGAATGTTGTTGTTGTTGTTATGTCCATGCTACGGTGTTGAACGTAACTTTGAGTCATTATCGTAGAAAGAGCGTGTTCGTTGGTTGGTTTCTGAGCTGATAAGCTCGGCTGGTGCTGGTTTGTTGTGAGAGAAAAACACTGTTGACTGACTGATAAGCCCTAACTGAAACCAACAAGCGAACAGGCTGAAAGTCGTTGAAGGGCCTACGAGGCTACCACGGCACAACAACAAGTGCTTTATCGATGTTTATGTGAATTGCGTTTCTAGTTTCTTGTTATCAGTTAGGGAAATAGAGTACTACGTACTATACGTACCATTGAGGAATATTGGCCCCTTTTCACCTTTCTGCCAATGGGTTTTTATGTATGCAATGCAGCTCCGGTAATTAGCCCGTACCTCCTGCTGTACGTGGTGCTGCTGTCAGTAAAGTAGACGTCGCCGGTCCGCTGGTCAACGTCGAGCCCGTTGAGGAAGTTGAACAGCTCGCCGCCGGCCTCCGTCGCCACGACCTCCGCGAGGCCGCCGCGCGCGCCAACCCTGAGCAGCCCCAGGTAGGCGTCGGCGATGTAAAGGTCGCCGGACTGCCGGTGGAACTGCATGCCCAGCGGGCGCCCGCACAGGCTCTCCGGCACTACCAGCTTCTTGTCCGGCGCGCACACCGCCACGCTCCTGCATGACGTTCGCTCGCACGGGTTAAAATCGTGTGAGCCGTACGTGTGTATTCATTCGATTCATGAATGTGCATGCAAGCAAGAATGATCAAGATGAAACGAAACTTGCTCGCTTAGCTTAGACGCTTACCTGTGCTTGGAGTTGTAGGCGAACTCGGTCCATCCCCGGAGGCGACCTTGCCACCGGAGGATGCGGCCGTCGGAGACGCCGGAGTATGGCCCGCCGCCGCGCCCGTCGAAGGCGAGACTCTCCGGCCCGGACACCGGCTCCGGCAGCGTCATCACGATGAGTCCAGGATCTATGGACTTGGTTCCGTACGATGACGACGCTGCAGCCGCAGCCGCAGGCAACACGAGAGGCAACAGGAGAAGAAGCGCAAGGAAGGAATGCAGTGAACGAGTGGCAGCCGCAGCAGCCGCCATGTCAAGCTTGCTGTGGCCTTCGTGCTAGGCACGCACGCAGGGGTAACTGCCGACAGCGCTTCGCTCGCTCGGGCAGCTGAACACTGATGGAGTGCTAGTAAATTCAAGCACTCCACACATGCAGCAGCTCGATCAGCTTGTGCATTTTTATAGGCGTTGTCGGGTCAGGGTGCGGTGAACACTGTTGTGCACAGGACGCAGCTGCTTTTTTTTTTCTCTCGTCTAAGTACAACCGTAGTATCTGTTCGGATACAGACACACACCACTACACACGCACACCTCACACACACGGTATATAAACAGACCTACAACTATACCTAGACAACGAACACAGCTGAGAGATACTCGAAGATCAACAGCCGAGCGTGGCGGGCACGTCACTTAACCATGTGATATATCTACGTAAGAGATAACTAAAATTATTAACGGAGAATAAATCTTTGATGTGCGAGACCGAAAATTCGCAGCCACAGGTGCCGAACTCCGGCCGGCAAGGTCCCAACAGCCGGGCCTTTGCACCCGAGCTACGCTCGGTTCTCGGACGCAGCTGCTGCACAGGATACAGTTCGCAGCTGATCATATTAAATCGTCATCATGGTGGCCTACATATAATTGAAGGCACGCCATTTTCAGTTTCTGCATTCCTGCCACCCCCGAACGAAAGCTCAAGGAGTTAAGGAACCTGCGGAAATTTCTTCAAGCTTCACAGAGGTTAGCGACATTTGACGACCATATATATATTCGCTTTGTCCGACATGCATCATGTCTCCGACGCTCCACCCGCTCCAACTGATCCCAACCAGCTTCATCGCCACTCTAAGGCGCTGTTTGGTCAGAAGTGACCAGAGACCAACGAACCCATTTTAGTTCCTTCTAGTCTCTACTTTGCTAAACATGAGGGCTACTAGAGGGATTAGAATAGGTTTGGCTATCCACTTGTGAGTGGCTGTTTGAGACTGCTGGGTCGGCTGGAGCTTCTCCTTTGGTGAGCACCTTCCCTGCAAAGTGTTCGACTAGGGGTGTTTTGGTCTTTGTTCAACTGCATTAATGTTTTTAGTCCTTTTTAGTCTCTGAAACCAAACAGGGTAAGGGACCACAGTTTAGTCTCTGTTTTAGTCTCTAATGCCTGGACTAGAAAACCAAACATGACCTAAGTCCCATCTAAATCAACATTAAATGGAGAGCACGGTGTATACCCAAGTATTTCTAGTACAAAAAATGATTATTATATATGGTGTATACCCAAGTATCTCTAATACTAGCGAATGAAATTTGCTACCGCCAGTGCGGCAAGCAAGAGTGGGCACGGTTAGAAACCGTCACTAGAAATAGATTTACGGATGGATGACTTAATTGTACCACGGATTCTATAGAGCCACCGGTGAAGAATGGCTGAAATACACTATGCCAGAGCCTCTAATCGCAAATAAGCGTAAACTTTATCACAGGCACAAAGTTTCTAGGTATGGGAGTTTACGGCTGTCATAGATGGTGTTTTTGCCTGTCTATGATGACCGCTATCACAGATAAGCAAAATCATGTCTGTGGTGTGACCGTTATCACATATGTAAACTCTAAGATGGGGATTTTATGCACTAGTGATGATATTGAAGTCCGTCTCTAATGTTTTCTACACCACAGGCGAGGTTTTACATCACACATCCATGGAAATTTTTATATTCAAAGACGGTCCTTATAGAAAGAGGCTTGTCAGTGATGTAAGCTATCTCAGATGACGATAGGTGAATTTATGTCTCTAGTGACTGACATCACAGATGGAGGGAAATCACGTCTATAAATTACACAGTGTCTCAGTCATCAAAGGCGTGGTTCAGGCCTCTTTACATCTCTCATCAATGTTGACGGTCACTAAATGCCTATTTTGACCATCAACATTGCACCAAAAATCGGAGTAAACAACAAAATAAAACAACGTAGGTAGTGATTTATGTTTATAATTCATATATTTCCACTTGTACTTGAAGATCTTTGGTCATGTATGAAAACCATACAAAAATATCAAAAATCAAGCACTAGAAGCTATATGGAGCAAGGTGGGCCACCATAGGCCACTTGGTGGCGCCGCCCGACCCCACAAGGGCACCGCCCGGTGCCCCACCTGCCCTTGCCACGCCACTGATCCGTGGGAGAGGTCCTCCAAGGCTTCTCCACCGCTGATCTCAAGTCGGTTCAACATCAAAGGCCCGAAAGGAGCATCACACGGATCGCTGACGTGTCATGGCAGCACAACCAACATGACAAACATCTCCAAGCACCCACACCCACTCATGACATATGGGCCAACACTACTACATAAATCTTATTGGAGGCAGGCAAAAAGGGTGAATGGAGGCGGGCATTGCAACCGCCTCCAATCAAAGGTCATGGTTAATCGTGACTTTACGGAGGCGGTTGTCCTGCCCGCCTCGGTTAATCCATTAGCGGATGCTCGCCTCAGTTAATCTTTTAAAAAAAAAAAGCCCGAGCGAGCCCAATCGAGCCCGCTGCCGTCGTGTCCATGCTGCCACATCTGGGCCGCTAGCATCCACGCCACGCCGTCGCGCCGTTGGTCCTCCTCCACGCCGAGCACCTACGCACCGCCGCTGCTCCTGTTGGACGCGCGCGCCATCCTACCATGAAGAGAGGGTGAGCGAGATGGAGAGGGGAAAACGAGGGGGGGGGGAGCCACCGGATCTGCCCGCCCGCACGCTCCTAGCCGCGCGCTGCCGAGGGAGAGGGAGGGAGGTAAGGAGGGAGTCGTACCTAAGGTAGATCTGAGCGGAGGAGGCGTGACGAGCCCGATGTCTAGTGGGAGCCCGCTGCCAACGGAGAGGGAGGGATGGAGCCCGCTGAGGGAGAGGGAGGGAGGAAGCCACTGGATCTAAGCAGAGAGAGGGAGGGAGGGAGGACGTTGGATCTGCATGGGTGAGTGAGAGGGAGGGAGGACGGGTGAGGGAGGGAGGCCGCCGCCTGGGCCTAGGAGAGAGAGGGAGGACGAGTGAGGAAGGCTGCCGCTCAGCTGAATGGCTGAGGAAGCCGCTGAACCCTAAGTTGAGGTATATATACGAAGAACTATTGGGCCTCGCCTAGTCCTGTTGGGCCTTGGCCTTTTTAGGAGGCGGGCATTAAAAATGGATTAAGATGACTGCCTCCAAAAATAGTCTATTTGTGATAGAACCGCCCAAAATAACACACCTTCGGAGGCGCTTGTCTTCCACCAGACACTAAGTACCCCGAAAGCAAGCTACATCGGGAGGATTCCGTCGAGCACACCCCAAGGGAGAACTCGAATAATCCACATTTTTCCTCCAGAATACAATAATGAGAAAGAGTTTACAATACTTAGTCCATTTCATACAACCAGTTTCTTAGAAATACATTATTACATTACTAAGTTCAGAGTGTGGAAATTAAACAGCGGAATAAAAATAAACATCTATCGATAATATACAAGGATTCGTCTGTGCCCACCAGAAGAATCCTTCACACAACGGCTACTCCTCAAGCTAAACCTGCAACAGGGGTAAATAAACCCTGAGTACACAATGTACTCGCAAGACTTATCCGTCTAGTGTGAATAATTTCCCGACTCCAAGGGATATGATAAGCTTTATGGTTTGTTGGATTTCTTTTTTGTGGAAAGCAATACTAATAGTGCATCCTTATGTATGTTTATTATTAGCAGTCATGATTAGTTCATTATCTAACCATTCTATGTAAGCACCTGTTCTACTTTCAAGCAAGAGTTGAGCAAACAGTTTTATTTCACCACCTTTCATCTTTTAGTTCTTACTATGGTACTAGACTGTAGACAAGTCATACCGGATCACCCGACGATTCATGAATCAATGTGCCTAGTTGGGTACCCCGAAACACACGCCCCGCTTGTACCCCAGGCACAAGCAGGACCAACCCACCACTCTCCTGTCATGGGGTCCCGGTCCCGTCCAAACTTGGACTCCAAGCCCCCGCTCCTAAGTCCCGGACTCAATGCGGTGTTTAGACCTCCACCATCCCCGCCTCCAATCAGTCGATCCAAAAAGAGCCAGAACCCACGACAAGAGAGCAACAAGCCTTCTCTGCGCCCATATACAAGTATGTGCTCGGGATAAGAAGTCTGTGACTTGCCTAGAACCCAATGCAACGGCCGGTCTTTAACCGACACAGACAGGGAAAACAGTGTAACCAAGCTATGCCCATTGGCCGTAGGACACAACCTCTTACACCCACCAATACCCATACCATATTCCTGCCCGGTCTCCATTTTTCCTTTCCACCCTTTTTATCATGAGTGATAATAATAATCACATATCGTGAGTAACGGCAGGTTACTCACGCTACCGAAATCCTGAGCATAGCAGCTACTCAACCTATACTAGTATGACTCATAGGTAAGTATATCTATGCATGTAGTTTTCATAAAATGCCTGTAACATAAATGCATATCATATATATATATATCCAGTGATCATTCAAAAATAGGGGTTATGCATCGAGGCTTGCCTTAGGCAGGCGGGGTGTCAGCAACTGATGGCTTCATGGCTTCCTCCTATACGAGAATCTCCTCCTCATACTCTTCAATTACCTCCTCGTACTCCTGCTCGCCCGTAGGCACGAACTCTACCAACTCGTTATCTACATGCATGAAATGATGATGCAACACTTAGTAATACGACAATCGCAACTCTTAAAATAAGAATACATCTATCAAGCTACTAAGCTAGCTCTACCAACCAAGATGCTAAGCTACCTATTATTCCCACTAAACATGTATGAAACATTGCATGTATTTTCTTAGCAACTAAAGGCGTCCTTATTCTTAATATTGATTTACTATATATACGATAAAACAAGGAGTACTAGCTACCACATTTATCAACCTATTCTAAGGCTACAAACATTACAGTGAGCACATAATAATCTAATGAACCTATTGTAAAAATTTCATGGCTAAAGCTATTACCAATTTGTCACAAAAATTCCTACAATTATTAATCTAA